TTTTTTTTTAAAAGATTATTTCTCAGGGAGAGAGAGAGGGAGAGAGAGAGAAAGCACAAGCAGGGGGGAGAGGCAGAGGGAGAAGCAGGCTCCCTACTGAGCAGGGAGCCCAACATGTGGCTCGATCCCAAGACCCTGGGATCATGACCTGATCCAAAGGCAGATGCTTAACCAACTGAGCCACTCAGGTGTCCCAAAGAGAAGATCTCAATAGAGGTGAGAGCTGTTGGGTGAGTCTGTTCTCAAACGATTTATCTATACCTATTAATGTATACTGGAACTTTCATCTCAACATTACGTGGCCTTTAGTGGTGGTTGTGGGGTGACAAAGAATTGAGACTGCAAAAAAAAAAAATAAAAATAAAGAGATGAAAAGGACCTTTACTAAAACATCACAGGGACTGACTGGGCTGGGAATTGTCTGGTACAGAGATTACTGTGGGAAAACTCAACAGACAGAGATCCTGACAGTTGATGTGTATCCTGGAGAAAAAAAAATAAGACTGAGTGCTACAAAACCAAAAGAGCAACAGTGGATTGCAAGGGGCATGCAACTGAGAGTCAATTGAGAGGTCCCATTTCAAGGGTCATGCAAATGATGACCTATTACTTTAATTGTTAACGCTGTTTTTAGTTACCTGAGTATATAAAACTCTTTAGAAATATTTGCACTGACTTTATATATCTCATAGACATTAGAAAGCTTATAAGAAAGACATGAAATGACTTGGGTCTGAGAATTATCCAGTAAGAAATAAAACTCAGCAATTAAGTGCATAATGTTAACAAATTGAATCACAGAAGAAATCCAGGAAACAATAATGCATTGTTTTTTGAATAAGTATTGAATTAAAAATAAAATAATTGTATTTTATATTTTAGCTACCAGAGGGAAGTGTTTTCCTGGACATTTCCTAATATTTACCGTATGTGATGTACCTGCTCTTAATCGGTTGCAGATAACTAGGTTTTCCTCTGAATTTTAATAATAATTCATATATTTAGTTTATTCAGTTAGGAAGCTATGCTTTCTGGAGGTTTTAAGAAATGGTTTATGTGTAATGTACTACAATAAGGAAAATTATTTTAAGTTTTTGTCTTGATTTTATTTATTTATTTTTAATTAAAAATATTTTACTTATTTATTTGAGAGAAAGAGAGAGAGAAAGCACAAGCAGGGGGAGAAACAGAGGGAGAGGGAGAAGCAGGTTCCCCCACTGAGCAGGGAGCCCGATGCGGGGCTCAATCCCGCGACCCTGGGATCATGACCTGAGCCAAAGGCAGACGGTTAACCCACTAAGCCACCCAGGCATCCCAAGTTTTTGTCTTGATTTTAAAAATGAAATATAGCATTTAGGATAGTGGTGAAGTAACGTATTAGTTTGAACCAAGCATCTTCCAGGGAAACACTCTGAAAAGCTTATCAGTGTGTACTGGCAGCTAACCCTACTTTTCTAAATTTTTCATAACTGCCTGGTATTTGGCAATGGGCAATTTTGAATGAAATCTAGCATCATGTGTGAGTGAGAGTCAAGTCTGAACCCTCACTCTTGAACATAAGAGAAAACATAGATGTGTAAAATCCATAGTAAAATCTCCATAAATAAAAGATGGATGTTATAAGACACTTTAGCAGATTAATCAGTATATTTTCTATAAGTGAGAGCATATTCTCCTCTGTGGTTAGCATAGAAAACTTTTTGAGATACAGTGGACTTTTAAAAATCACTAAAGACATTTTATATGAGCTAAACTTCTATTTTCTTACTTAACCAATACCATAGCTTATCTTTCACTCCTTAAATATTACATTTTATTTAATGTATTTAATGTAAATACATTAAATACAAAATAAAAATTTTTATATTTAACTTATATTAAATTAATTTTAATTAAATTATACATAATTTAATATATAAATTATAAATTTTTAAAATGTAAATACATTATGTTTAATGCATTTAATGTAAATATAAATTAAATATAAAGTATAAATTATATTAAATATAATAATAAATTATAATATAAATATCAATTAAGATATAATGAATAAAATTATAAACAGAACAAGAGTGCAAACATTATTTCATAGTGGCAAAAAAAAGCAGTAGTGCTTTTCCACATGTTAATTCAAGGGAAACCGTGATGACACTGCCCTGGTCCATAGTTTGTAAGCATCTGCCATATTCGGTGGCTTTTCTGAAGTAGGCAGGGAAAATGCCCATTTATTACAAATGTGAAAGATGGCTCTCCAGAGCAGAAATACAATTTTCCAAATTAAGAACCTCATGGAATCCTTTTCAGTTTTAATATGTGGTTAAATCTATATAAGAAAAATGTACTGTCCAACTTATGGCACTCCGATTTTTCCTTACTTGGCCTCCATTGTATGTATTTATTTTTCAATTCCTCATTAGTCACCTTGCACACGTTTTGAACATCCCAGAATGATCAGGAAACAAAAGGTTTCAGATGGAGGCATTCTTGCCAAAGCAGACTGGCACTGAAGGAACAGCAGTTTACCATCTAGAATGAATAAACACATTTCAGTGATGTTATCTTTGCTCTGAAAATCTTTATCTAATGCAGCCACAATCAACTGTTTATTTACTTACTGTCAGTTCACATTTTATCAGCACTTCTCAGTGAAAAGAGATTTGCAAAACAAAAGAACGTTTTGACTTGTTACTTTTTCATTGAGATTTATTTTACGTCTTATCTTTTTTTTTGCTGTGATTCATAAGATTTTTAGTTCCTATCAAAACATAAATTTTTCTCCGTCTTTTCTTTCCTCCTTTCCAATAGTAGGAGGTGTTAAAGCTGATAATTAAGCAACTGGGGTGACTGAAGAAATTTATATCATGAGAAAATGTGTGGGCACACAGCATAACAGTAACCTCTGAATGAGTAAGGCGACTAATTCTACAAGCATCTGTTCTGGGTGTGCAGACATGGTCCAGGGATAACATTTTATATATCTAGAGACTGGGTGAGCTGATCATTCTTTAAAAAATCTCCATTAGCATAATTTCTTAGAGCTGAAAATTCAGTATCCCTAAACTGTCAGAGAATTTGAGGTTCTATTACTGGATACAAATCTAAAGTGCAAAAATTCTTTATTTTAGATGAATAGTAAATGCCTTTCTTTTAGTACTCCAGTAAGCCATAGAGTATGGCTTATGTGCTCTTATGGGAGTCCAGGAGCCTATTAGTACATGTTCCAGGATAAGAAGCCGCCCCACCGCTGCGTGGAATCAGGTCAAGGAAGGAGAAAATGTCATGATTTGGAGTATAGGCTTATATGTGCTAATAGAACCATCTGTGTGT